CCTAACTGCTCATGATAATGGTTTGAAGCAGATATTATTCTTGTTGTATAGTTGAGGGAATTGAGGCTGAAAGAGTTTAAATGTCTTGCTCACAGCCATCTGAGGGTACTTCAGAAACACATAGTGCAAAAACACTATGCATGGATTTCAATTTTTCCATCCAAATAGATGTCTTTTAACTTCACTTTTGCAAAAGTTTTCTTTTAAGTATACTTTCACAACAAGTGATAGGACCGACACTCAAAATAATCCCGCCTCTTATAACCCTGTAAAACATCAAGAGGGTTATACAATTCTTTAACATATGAGACCACACAGCACCCAGCTATGGAATGAACTGCAATGGTATGAGTGAGCATTTGTGTTTCTCTCTGAGTCAATGGAAATCTGCTTTGGTTGTGGTTCACTGTTTCAGCAAACATTGAGGTACAGCTACATTTATGTCCTCAGGACCGATGGCAGCATTCAAAATAAAAAAAAAATGGGAAAGGGCAGAAAGAGAATAGGTCCATGGAAAACAGAAATCCTAATCTCTTAATGTACATGGAGGGTGAATAGGTAACAGATAGCCACATCCTCAATGAGGAACATGAATTCATTTGCTCACTCATTCCTGCCAATGCTATGTGGCAGACAGAACGGTCCTGATCGTGCCATGAGGAAATAAAAACATGAAATGAAAGAACACGTGAGCATCTGAGCCAAGGTTACAACCCATGCCATCTTCCTCCAAAGGTCAAGCTTTGAATCACTGTCACGTACTCCCTCCCCAGCTCTCAGCCAAGGAATGATGGCAGCATTTACCAGGGGTAACCAGTCTCCAGCTCTCTGGGGACAAAGTAATTCTTAAAAAAGATTTATTTTATTTTTATTGTAAAGTTAGATATACAGAGAGGAGGAGAGAGAGGAATTTTGTCACTCCCCAAGTGACCGCAATGGCCGGTGCTGCACTGATCCGAAGCCGGGAGCCAGGAATTTCCTCCAGGTCTCCCACGTGGGTGCAGGGTCCCTAGACCTTGGGTTGTGCTCCACTGCTTTCCCAGGCCACAAGCAGGGCACTGGATGGGAAGTAGAGCTGCCGGGATTAGAACTGGCACCCATATGGTATCCTGGCACTTTCAAGGTGAGGACTTTAGCCGCTAGACCACCATGCTGGGCCTGAACAAAGTAATTTTTAAGCAAAGTCAACACTGATAGAAACACACGCACATGCATTTAAAAAATAAGCTCACTTCCTTTCCCTCACTTCCGAAGTAGGCAGTCTAAGGAGTTACATATTTCAACCCTATCTTGCATAGTGTGCCTGGCTGACTCTTTTAACTTTTTTTCTTACATACTTCTATGCCAGGGATTTTCATGTACCATTCTTGAGTCTCATGAGAATTGAATAGAAGATGATTGAAAAGAGGGGCCAGACAAGAGTGTTCAGTCTGCATCCAGCTTTAGATTTTAGATGAGAGTTCCTAAGACAAAGCACTGAAACCACCATCTGTCAAAAGAACAGAAGCAGTTCAGGCCAACTGGTGCCTAAGAGTCGTTCAGAACATGTTCAAGGGCATGCGGTGTGGTGGGGCAGGTGGAGTAGACAAGGGACGCCCACAGCAGAATACAGCAGGACCACTAGGCTGTATGTGACTAAGAGATGGCCATTAATTCCTGCAAAATGATCAGATGGGCCAGGTGGCAGGAATCAAAGGAAAAGGCCCGTTGCAGGACTGAAGTCCACAGGGACCAGAAGAATGGATTGGGCAGGAGATGTTGATCCCCATCTAGCCAGGAACAAAGCAAGCCTAGTGGTTTTGGCAGGAACCTGAGCATCAGAAGTATAACTCACAGGTTGGGCACTAGCAAGGTGATGGGTGATTCCATGACCCCACCTGCTCTGAAGAAGAGGCCACTTACACACTGCCTGTCTCCAATACAGGCTGTTAAAAAAAAAAAAAGTCATGGAGCTGAACCTTAGATTAAAATGATCAAATTCCAAAGCTGGAAAAGGCAAGGGAAGTCGAGTGGGGATTGGCATGGGTGTGTCATGTGGTATATCACCAACTTCTGTGCTTAATTAATCAAGTACAAGGTATTACAAGACTGTTTTAGATATCTACCACTGCACCCAAGGGAAACAGAAGATAAACCAAAGCCCTGAAGATGAGATCAGCTAGGGGCCAGTGTTGCTACATGCAGTATAGTACCCCTTACGGGCACTAGTTCAAATTCCTGCCGCTCCACTTCTGAGCCAGCTCCCTACTAACGTGCCTAGAAAAAAAGTTAAAGATGTCCTAAGTGCTTGGGCCCTACACCTGTGTGGGAGACTCAGAAGATGCTCTTGGTTTCCCTCTGATCCAACCAGTGTGCTACAACCATCTGGGGAGAGAACTAGCAAATGAAGCTCTCTCTTTCTCCCTCTTTCTCTTCGTATAATCCTGCCTTTCAAATGAATAAAATAAACCGTAAAATAGATGAGATTTTCTGGCAGGATTACCTCTGAGTGCCTTGGTTTACCCAGTTCCTCCCTTTGGTTGAAGAGCCGGATTATATGTTACTGAGTTCAGTCCTGAATTTTTTACTCTGCCCTGTATTCAACATAGGGAGCATGAATATCATGCGGGTGGTGGCTGTCAATCAGCTTCCTCAGCACAGTGCTCACTTTCTTTGGGTTTTGATGGGTCAATAAATGGCAAATTACCCCAGTCATATCTTAAATGATTCTGCCAAGATATCAACCCACAAAAACCTACTGTTACCATCAGATAGCTTTAAAAAAAAAAATGTTTAGCATGTATCGGAAGAGCATTGGTTGACTGGACTGACTTCCAAGGTCACCTGTAAAAAGTCACCAAAAAGTGCACAAGCACACTTACCAGGGAGGATGATTTGGGCCAGCTCAGTGCCAAGATCTGATACAGAGATTGATCGCAAATTTTAAGATCATTGCCATCTCTTTACTCTTCTCTCTCTCTCCCCCTTACTCCTGTTTCCTCCTTATTTTATGCATAAAAATGCAACCAGCCTGAACTAAAGCAAATTGGATTAATTCCCTGGAGGGAGCATGAACAAATTTTCCCAGCAACTTTCAACTACAAGCATTTGTGTAAGGGCATATGTGGATGGAATGTGAAGCAGTCAGCTACATAAACTCATAATCAAATGAAACATTACCCATTTCAAAGTGCCCGAAAACAGCATTCACATCGCCAATTAAAACAGAGCATAGGAGGAAGGAAAATGGGCAAGAAGAAAAGTAAATATGTCTGTGGTATGTGTGTGTTTCAGGAGGTGGAGGCACTATCAAGGGAAGAGTAAAATCTAGGGGGAATTTATTCCCTTCTTAAAGACAAATCTGTCACTGGAGGGCTTGCAGGAGGCCTCCCTGATGGGATAGAAGAAAGGAGTAAATATACATCCATTAATTCCATCAAAATGAAATTTCAGCAGTTCACCCAAATTACCCAACCACTAGTTACTTATGAAGACACTTTTCTGTACACACACACTGCACATCTTTTTAAAATAACAGGTGGATAGAACACAACAAGTTACAAAGACCAGGAGAACTTTATGGCTGAGATGTCCATTGAAACATTGGTCTCTGGAGAATCAGCATAAAATAGTTGTTTATTCATTCATCTGCCACCTGCTTGTTCAGCAAATGCTGAGAACTTTGTGTAACCCTTGATGCTGAAGATCCAGGATCCCAAAATACTTTTCCAGTCTCAAAAAGCCTCTGGGCCAACCTCAGATGTCCGGCTGCCTTCTAGGTGTTCCAACATGGCTGGTCACAGATGAGACCTTCTATCCTCGTAGCTCCAGGGCATAAACAATGCTCATGCTGCCATTCAAGATGCTTTCCATAGAACCACAAGCTCTGCATCTACCCAGGGCTGGGCCTGGGGCAGAGGGGACCAGCAACCTTCCCAACACAGGACCTAACACAGCACAAGAGCTCACTCAGCCTGCAGCTTGATGAACACCATGCACTTGCTCTCTTTTAACTATTTTACACCCCAATGATTTTTCCTGAAAATCCATCCAAGGTCATAAATGAAAGGAGCACAAAAATTGGCCTCCCCCATCACAGTTCTGCCCTGTGGATATTACAGTCATGGCCATGACCCTGATTTGAGTATCACACATTCTATATACAGGTATTAGAACATCACACACTCTCCCTAAACACATAAAATTCTTCTGATGCTGCAAGACAGCAGTGGCTACTGCTTCACGCTTGATGGCCAAGACCCTCTACTGGCCCTGTGCCCCTTGAGACATGCCTGTTATTGCACACATGGGTCATCCCTGAGGATAGCTGGGGATCTGCCCTCCTGAACACACACTTTGATTTTACCTCTTATCTCTGCTCTCCCCACTACCCCTCTCCCCACTTCTGTATTCAAACAATTTTATGCGTGGAATTTCTCATTTATCCTCATGAATACAATCACCATTTAAAAATCAGTTAACGCCTAACAACAAATTAAAATATATTATGCCCATTCCACATCCAGAGACAATTATGATATTGAGGATTTCAATGAGATCTTAATTAAAAATGCAAAGTTAAAGACAGAAACCAGGAGGAATGAGTTCTACCATCCTATGACACAGCAGGATAACAATAGTTAACAGCATTCTACTGTATATTTCTAATGAGCTAGAAGATAGGAGTTGGAATGTTTCCAACAACAAAGAAACGATAAATGATTGAAATGATAACCGTAGCAGTCCTGTAATTTGATCATCACACACCATAGACATAGATCAAAATTTCACATTGTACCCCATAAATATACATATAATTATTATGTTTAAATTTTAATGAATAACCCAATAAAAGTAGGTATATATACCTACTGAAATATACAGATGCCAAAATAATCTAATAAGGTTATTAACACACCACATGTCATCTCTCTCCTCCACTACTCTTTCCCTCTTGTCAGGAGGCTTTCGCAATGTCCTTATTTTTATTTGGAATTCTGCTTACATTTCTCAGTGATTACCTGCACAGGAGTGGCGATCTTGGTAGAAGCCATCCCCACAGGTGGCCACACACTGTCCATGCCGCATCAGCAGAGGGGGCTGGCAGGAAGAGCATTCGAGTCCGCTGGTACATGTGGAACACTGTGGTTGGCAGGCTGCCTCAGGCCGAGAGTGGGGAGAGAAGAAGGCAATTTCTGGTGAGCAATGAGGCACGATTCCCAAAGCCATTCATCCATCACCCAATCCTGATATCCTGCGGTTCCACAGCACGAGGACAGGGGAACCATTTCAACAGCCACTACTGCTACAGCACATAGCTCACACCAGGCACCACGGAAAGTGCCACACGTCTATCAATGCATTTCATCCTCACACCAACTCAAGGGGGTGGATATCCTTAATCTGAGTTTCACAAGTGAGGAAGATGCTCACACAAAGATGGAACTACAGGCCACAAAGTATGGTTCCACAATCCATATTATTTTCCTCTTATCCAATAACCCCCAATCTGTCTCTCAATCTCTTTCCAAGAATATCTCTTGAGCCAATTTCTCCACACCCTATGCCAGAGATAAAATAACTTCCTAACAGGTCAAAAATGATGGCTCTTGAGAAAAAACAGGAAAAAGTGAAACACTGTAAAAATAGCCAAAACAGGGCCTGGCGGTGTGGCCTAGTGGTTAAAGTCCTCGCCTTGAACGCACCGGGATCCCATATGGACGCCAGTTCTAATCCCGGCAGCTCCACTTCCCATACAACTTCCTGGTTGTGGCCTGGGAAAGAGGTCGAGGACGGCCCAAAGCTTTGGGACCCTGCACCCACGTGGGAGACCTGGAAGAGGTTCCTGGTTCCCGTCTCCAGATCGGCACAGCACCGGCCGTTGCAGCCACTTGAGGAGTGAATCATCAGACAGAAGATCTTCCTCTCCGTCTCTCCTCCTCTCTGTGTATCTGACTTTGTAATAAAAAAAATAATAACAAAATAAATCTTTACAAAAAAAAAAAAACGGCCAAAGCAGCTAGTCCTCACCGAGTGTTCACCATACCCCATACACTATTCTAAGCACTGCACATATATCGGCATGCTCAGTTCTCACACCAGCCTTCCGTGGGACGTATACAATTTCTTCCACTTTACAGACACAGAGGCTCAACACTTACAGCAGGGTATGAACCCATACACTCTTAAATAGCCTCATGAATCAAACAGAAGGGGAAATGTGAGATTTGACCTCAACTGAGACAAACTCTCTGGTAAGAGCTCCTTCTCTAATGTCTAAGAGTTCTGAGATGCACGCGCACCCCTTCTGGATGTTCTGCACAGAAAGAGAAGTTCTATTATCTGTGCAATGCTGAGCAAGTCAGCTCATTCCTCTGGCCTACAAGTTTCCCATTCACAAAATCAGTAAGTTCCTACAAGTGATCTTTACTGTCTCAATCAAGGCTAAACATTTACCCTATATCACATTGACTATTTCTCATACATTTTACTAGGCATACTGATGACAATATCAGCCTTGAGGCCCCTTAAAAATGAAAAAAGGAGGGGCTAGCATGGTAGCATATCACACTAATCCTCTGCCTGTAGTGCCTGCATCCCATATGGGTGCCAGTTAAATCCCAGCTGCTTCTTGTCCCAATCCAGGTCCCTGCTTATGGCCTGGGAAAGCAATGGGGATGATCCAAGGGCCTCCGCATCCATGAAGGAGGCCCAGAAGAAACTTCTGACTCCCAGCTTCAGACTGGCTTAGCTGCAGCAGCTATTTGAGGGTAAACCAGCAATTGGAAGATTTCTCTCTCTCTCTCTCTTTTTCTTTCTCTCCCTTCCTCCATTCTTTTCCATCGCTCCCCCCACCTCTGCGTAATTCAAGTAAAATAAAGTTTTTTAAAAGGTGAAAAAAACCTCAGCTATGAGTACTTAACAATCAACTGACATCCACATCACCAATCTTTTTTTAGTAAGCATTAAAACTCCTGCTTGGGAAAGAAGACAGAGTGGGCCAAGCAACCCACGGGTGACATTATATCCACCAGTGGCTTTCAGATAGTTTCCATTTCCTGCATTTGAGATAGCACTGTCAGTTTTATAAAAACAACCTCTGATGAATTGTTCCAATCACCTTACGATACCACCCCTGGGGGTTCCACCTGGAGCCATACCTAAACAGAGGCTGCCGGCTTGGTAGAAGCCCAGACCACAGCTGTGCACACAGCGTCCATTCTGCAGCAGCTTGGTGGGGTCTTGGCAGAGGTCACAGTGGTCTGGAGAGCGAGAGCAGGTCAAGCAGTCTGGGTGGCAGCGAACTAGAATCAAGGAGAAAGAAGGGAAACTCAATAAAGACCGGCTGACCTCCCAGGCAGCCTTCAGAGCAGGAATCTGCAGGGTGTGCAACGCAGCACGAGTTATGAAGGAGTGCACTATAGGACACAGGCAGGAAAAGCCCAAGCACCACGACATGTGTGGTTTCCATGCAGGAGCCCAAGGCATCTCTCCTTGAAATGGGCTGAGATACCACCACTGTTCCCTACAGCCTCAAATGGAAAATGCAAGAACAGCCTCATCAATGCTTGCCAGGTATAATGCCACAGAAACAGGAATGACCACCTCTATAATACACCATTTAACCATTCATTAATTGATGATATCATGGATGTTCTTAAGCTTTGACATGCACAGAAAGAACCGACTGGAAGCATACAATGTTTAAAAATGGTTGCTACCTTTAAGATATAGTAAGTTTTACTGTTTTTTATCTAAAATGTTAAATCCTAACAACAGGGATGGTTGCTTAAATTTAGTGGTAATTATCAGCAAAAGATTTTTTATTTAGATACTAGAGTTGTCCAGAAGCTGATTTTTGGTACATTCTACACGACAATATACTAAACATTTGTTCTGGGAAGGCCAGAGGACCATTTTGGTGCAGGAAATATAATGAAACTGTAAGTTGCTTGGCTATTCCCTTGATAAACCCTTCAGAGACACATGGTGATTAGCCTAAATAAAGAGTGCAACAAGAGCAAGTGCCAATATGAAAAATTATGGCCCATGGATGAAAACAATTACTTATGAAATATGACTGGGAGAAAATGCCATTTCTCCAAGAGATATTGAGCTTATAGGCAAATTACCCACTCAGCCAAACAACTCCAGTGCTTGCCAGCAATTATTAACTGGGACTAATTCAACCCCAGGTGATTTGAAAGCAGAACTGCAAAACAAGTAGATAAAATTTTCTTCTGAAAGGAATTAATGAGTCTTTAAACATTCAAAGCCCACTTTAGGACACAAAAACAAAATTTTGCTTATTTGCTCATCTTAAAAAAAAGCCTATAATAAACTTTGATACTTCCAATAACAGAAGACATAGATTTGTCATTACGTGTTTTAACATGATGTTATTTCATGTTCACAATAGCACTTCAAGACAGACAAAATGTGTTTCATCAACAACAACAAAAAGACAAGATTTAGAAACGGACAATGACTTGACCAGGACCACGTATTTCTACTAAGTAGATTCAGTAAATGAACATGGGCAACGACGAACCAGTGTCATTTGCTATAAAAAAAAAATCAGGAAGAAAATAAAGAAAACCAAACCCATGGAGCGATTACAGAAAAGGCAGCAGGGCAGTGGGAGCAGCTCTCCGGAATTTGGCTTAGTAGAACCATCTCAGCAGAAGCACAGAGGAAAAGGGCTCACCTGCCGTGCAGTCTGGGCAGCACTGTCCCCTCACTGCCAGGGCCAGGGTGGCCACTGGACATGGTGGGCAAGAGGGCTCATAGCAAGTCACCTGAGCCCCCCGGCATTCACACACCTTGCAGGGACCATCTTCCCATGTCTCTCCCTCCTGCAAGAAAGTGCAAAGATAGGACTGCCATGAGGGTAAAGGGATTCAGAAGAGAGAGCTCATGGGAAACTGGATTTCTACAAGGACCAAGTGAGAGTGCATCAGCACCCTGCCAAAACTTCCCCTGGAATTTGACAATAGCAGAAGGGTATGAAATTTACAAGCATAGAATTTTTCCTACTTTGGTTTCTTTTAAGGTACAGCACAAGGAAAATGATGTCAGACATAGTCAGAGACAAACTATGGAAATATTCTAGGGCTACCGGAATAGTTATGAAACACTGAAAATATGTTCTACTTATTTCACACACACACACACACCACCACCACCACCACCACCACCAAAACAACTGGTGATTACTCTGCACCTATTTATTAGCAGATATATTTAATACAGTCACTATCATTAAGCTATGTTACACTTTGAATTTCCTTAGAGCTACTACAGTCAGTGTTACAATCAGGTCACTGCGTTTGTAAAATGAAAGCTTTTGCAGACCAACTTTTGTGGACCATAGATGTGCTATAAGCTTTCTCCCACACTGAAATATTCATTTCAGCCAAGCCAGTTATGCTGAGAAACAGGATTGGTTAACAGAAAGCCCAAAGTGAATTACAAAAAACAATTCACTCCTATTCATGTTCCCACACACCCTGGAGATAGGAAAGAGATGGGTTTCCACAAGGATATACTGAGCTGATGGGGAAGGTGAAAGGACAAAGAAAAAAAAATTTTATTAGAAAGTGAGATGTACAGAGAGGATGAGAGACAGAGAGGAAGATCTTTCATCTGATGATTCACTCCCCAAATGATCTCAATAGCTGGAGCTGAGCCAATCTGAAACCAGGAGCCAGAAGCCTCCTCCAGGTTTCCCACATGGGTGCAGGGTCCTGAGGCTTTGGGCTGTCCTCAACTGCTTTCCCAGGCCACAGGCAGGGAGCTGGACAGGATGCAGATTAGAACCGGCACCCATATGGGATCGTGGTACATGCAAACAAGACTTTAGCTGCTAGGCTACCACGCCTGGCCCAGGGGAGAAGGTTTTAAAGGAAATCTGATAAAATGTGTATTAAGCTAAAGGATGTTGAATATCTGAAAAAAAAATTAATGTGACAAACACTAAGAGAATAAACAGAAAATATTTTAAAAGTGAGGATTGTAATCCTGAAAAGGCAGAAGTGGTTTCATTCCATTTCTATAAGCTCCAAAACTATAAACTGGATTGTGTGAACATGCATGTTTTTACACTCCCTTTAAAAGAAACTACAGGGTCCAGCATTGCAGTGCGGTAGGTAAGCCACCATTACAAAGCCAGCATCCCTCATCAAAGGCCTGGCTTGGGTCTGGCTGTATTTCTAATCCAGCTCCTTGCTAATGCTCCTGGAGGCAGAAGATGATCCATGTGCTTAGGACCTTGTCACCTTTGTGGCAATGCCTGGCTGCTGGCTTCAGACCGGACCATCCTGGCAGTTGTCACCATTTGTGGAATGAACCAGCCAATGGAAGATCTTCTCTTTCTGTCATTTTGTCTTTCAAAAACAATACCTCTTAAAAAACAACAACAACAACAAAAGTTAACACTGCCCTGCAAGCAACCTAGGAGAATGAATGCTCAGTGTTACTGGTGGAAGCAACAAGGTAGAAGCCCGAGAAACTGTTTCTTCATGGTTTGTAAGCCATGAAATTCCTGGTTCCACTGAGCAGGGCGTCTTGACCAAAAAAGAGTCAGGAGAAGAAAACCAGCATTGAAAAGGGAAGGAACACACACACACACACGAACTTGTAGTTAGAGAGGTATCAATTCTAGGGAAAAGAATAAGCTGAATAAATGGAAGAAATGTTCATTGGTGAAAGTCTTAGTTATCATTAGGGTTCTTAATCACAGTGTCATGAAATGTGGCCATTAAAAATATGCAGACACTAGGCATTCCCATGATCCTTACTTAAAACTATTGTATAGTGATTTATGTACGAGTTAAAAGCCCATACTTACTGGAATATGTTTAACCGCACTCCTATTGGAGGGTAACTAGGAATAAAGAGAAATTATACCGTTAAAAATACCAATAGGCTGACCTATTTATTTTTTCATTAGAAGTTATTCATTTTCCCCCAAGTAACATGCAACTTCAACTCTTTGTTATGAATAGAAATAACGTCTAAGTCTATCTTGGCAAAAAATAACAACAGCATATCAACATGAGGTAAGGACAACACATTTGGGAACTATTTTTGAATTTGTGTTCTATTGTGTTTGCATACTTGATTTCACTTTTTCCCCAAGAAAGACTCTGTAGTCAAAGAACTGAAGCTCAGAAGGGCAATTCCTGAATTTCACATCAACTATTCCAAAAGATTTACACTTACTTAAAACAATTTTGTCTTTCCAATTCCTTTGGGTTTAATATACCACCAAAAATGGGTAAAAAAAAAATATATGCTATAATGACTGGGTAAATACAAATTTGACATTTAGATGCTAGTGTTGTTACATAAGAAATTAAGCCACAACTTGCAAAGCTGGGATCCCACGTGAGCACAAGGGGAGACATGGATGGGTAACCATGCTCCTGGCTGTGAGCCTGCCCCAGCTCCAATCATCACGGCCTTTTGGGGAGTGAACCAGTAGATGAAACATCTCTGTCTCCTCACTTCCCGGAAGATTTTTCCCTTCAAATAAATACATCATTTTTTAATTCAATATTTATGAAGAGGACTTAATCTTTTAGATTCTTTTTTAAAAGATTTTATTTATGTTTATTGGAAAGGCAGATTTACAGAGAGAAGTAGAGACAGAAAGCAAGATCTTCCATCTGCTGCTTCACTCCCCAAGTGGCCACAATGGCCGGAGCTGAGCTGATTCAAACCCAGTAGTTTCTTCCAGGTTTCTCACATGGGCGCAGGGTCCCAAGATTTTGGCCCATCTTACTGCTTTTCCAAGCCACCAGCAGAAAGGTGCATGGGAAGTCAAATAGCCAGGACATAAGCCAGAGTCCATATGGGATCCTGGCACATGTAAAGCAAGGATTTAGCCACTAGGCAATCATCACGCCAGGCCCAATCTTAAAAACAAACAAAACAAAAACAAAAACAAAAATCCAAACAATAACCAAGTCATCAATCACTGTGATTATATAACGTTAACAGAATATTAATAACAGTATTTTGGCCTTTTGTAAAATATATCATCTCAATAGTTTCATGAGATAAGTACCACTGTAAGTACTGCCTCCTTTACAGTACAAATTAAGACACTTGCCCAAGATCACAGAAAGTACATGGAGAAATGTGAACATAGTGCATTCTGAGCACTGACATGTTGATAGACTCAGTTTATCCAAATCATTCACAAAAAAGTGGACAGGAATAAATTCACTAGCGAAAGCACTGAATCCTCATTCTCCTAATCCAATTCTGATTGACCAATGAAATGGTCATATTTATAATTAGCAAGCATAACTTTAAGAACACAATTTAACAACATTCCAAAGTCACATGTGGAAAATAAGGGCTACACAAATAGAATGTGTTTCAAGAGATTAAGGTGAATTTTTTTTCCTTTGAAATATTACAGTAAAAAATAAAAATTGACCAAAATGATTTTCAAGTGGAGTTCAACCCTACATCCATAAAACCTCTCTACCTGCAGAGGTACATCTCAATGTTGGGCACTGTTCACCATGCTCTCCACCTTCTCCCCAAGCTTCCTAGATTACTGCAAAAATCTTCCAACTGGTCCACCTCCCTCGAGTCTGGAGCCTTTTCATCACTTACCACGCAGCAGCCAAGACATCCTTTCAGAGGGAGGCAAGGTCACAGCACTGCTCCCCTCAGAACACCCGGGTAGCTTGCATCCACTTCACACTCAAACACTCTGGTTTCCTAGCTATTCTCATTGGATCTCTTCTCCAGGTGCTTCCCCCCTTCAGTATGTCCCAGCCATAATGGCTTCTGAACAGGTCAAGCACGTGGCTTCCTCCGGGCCTTTGGGATGGCTGATTGCCTGGGATGCTCCCCTCAGGCATCTGTGCAACTCACCTCCATCTCCCTTTAGGTTTAGCTCAATGAAAGTCCACTGAAACAACCATATCCCGGGTATGTGTGAGAGCAACACCTGTCACCTGACTTGTACACCCCGAGTTCCTCTTGACACTATTTGCCAGCACATGACATTCATGCATACATATGAAAGTGTGTGCATACATGGGTGCAGGTGTTGTCTGCATCCTGACTCTACAAAGGAGCCTCCACCATGAGAGCAAGGACACTGCCTGCTGAGTTCAGGCATATATTCCTGAGCTCAGGCTGTCAGTCCAGGCCTGCTGAGATCAAGCATATATTCCCGCCACCTCATGCATAGCAGGTGTGCAACAGCCTTTGTGGAACAAAGGAATGGGTGAGGCAAACTAGAAAGCAATGTGCCCTCCTGAAATTCATTTGAAATGATTCATTTTTAAGATTATTTTGTTATCAACCCGATACTCACAGATTCTACCTTTTCTTTGTAGACACAATAACCATTCCTGGAAATGCATTCGGGGCAGCATTTTCCATCTAACTGAATTAATTCTTCACCCTGTAGAAATTAAGAGTTGCAGTGGCACATATCAAATTAACATCTCTAGGTAGCAGTGCTAAATTGCAAAGCAGCTGGAAACCCTGACTAGAATGAGAAACCTTGGCATACTCTTTTCTTCAGCCCACCTCTCATTGTGTCTCTGCTGCCCCTACAACCCTGCTGTTTCCCTCTGGAAAAGCCAACGGATATTGCACACCCCTCCAAGAGCTTCTTCTTTCCTGCTTTAAAGATAATGGCATTCTGATCTACTCATAGTTTCCTACTGTTAACCATGAACTTCCATGAATAAAAAAGGTAGGCAGTGTTAACCATACAGTTTTTAAAAGCTATGACTTTCAGAAAGAGATCATGTTGTATTAAATTTCCAGGGTGGATACTGGTGACTCTGATTTCATTAACAATACTCAAATCAAACTAATATTTTTCTTGAATGCAAATTCAGATGTGGAGAGGTAGTCACAGGCATAAATTAAACAGCAGAAAGCTGTTTTAATTCAATCGTCTGAAACGCTGTTAGCTATCTCATGTCAAAACTACTTTCTAAAATCTAGCCAGGACATAGAGAAATTTCCAACTGAGATGGTAGAAATTTAATTTTCAAATTCTTATCACTTCAATTTCCCAGTACCAGTAACTTTAAAATTATTTTTATTAGCAAATGTTAGCACAAAAAGTTAAATAATTCTGAATTCTATAATTCAGTATAGTTCAACTCCATTCCAACCCCCAAAGAAGCTACCTTTTAAAAACAAACTATGAGTTCACCAATATCTGTATGCTAATATTTATAAAGAATATTCTTTAAAGTACGTCTTCCTTGTCAAAGATAATCTGCTTTCTAAAGAATGATAATGTGTCTTTAAATATTTAATATGTAATCCATATCACATTTAGAAGAACATAAACTATGTTATACAAAAATGAATAATGTACGTTTAGCTAAACTGTAATCATAAGGGTATTTTGCATTTTAAAAAACTGCACTAATGGCAACTATAAAAGCATTAGTTGTCTTCAGATTACAGCATTAGGAATGAAATGTACACCTCTTTTTTTTGAGTCTTCAGAATCTTCTTGAATGAATACATAGGGTTTTTCAAAGAGAATGTACACTTTTGAGAGAAACACAAAGTACATGAATGTAACTTTATACAGCATCTAAAAAGTTATTATTTGTGAAAAGGAATACTATAGATTATTGTCCATCAAAATTGCATGCCCATCAGAAGCCGGTCAGTACTACAGAGAAGAGACATATTTACATATAAATTATTTTGCCAAAACATGACAAATCAGCTAGTAGAGCAGCAAAACTGCAGAAAGATTGAAATTTGCTCTCAAAGCATGTAAAAGGCTTTATATGCGTGTAAACTAAGTGGTTTAAAACAACGTTCTGAAACAGGACAAGGGATGGGTGCTTGTATTAAAGACAAAATGCAGAAGAGATTCTTGAATGCCCATGACAGAACCTGTGGACAGAAGGGAAACAGGGGTGTAAGTCACCCAGGGAAGGGAAGGCTGGGGGCACTTCAGAGCCCTCAAGCACTGCTGGAGATTACAGTGTGCCCTGCTCTTGGGGAAGCAGGATTCAGTTCCAGGAGGTAAGGAGCTCTCAATAGAGTTGCTATTTATAGAAGCAGCTTGGATGCCCCAAATCACATTGGGTCACCGGGCCAGGAGCTTGCTTCGCTCAGCCTTTGGCTTCTGCTTAGAGCAGAACGGCCCTGTGGAACAAAACAGATTCTTTCCTTTTTAAAAAGGATTTTTCAGCATACGCCAGCTCAAATGAGGTACTCATTCCTGACCAAATCACACCTAGAACATGATTTGATCAAGTTGTCTGTGCGGGGTGGGGGAGGAACATTGTTTTAAGGGAATTTTTCTTCACTAGGCAATGGAAAGACAACTCTCATTCATGGTGTGGCTACTGCTTCCAGGCATTTTTCTGAAAGCTTCCTTCCCACTACCATCATAATTTAGATGTAAATGCTAAATTCCTAAAAATAAAGTCATTTGACTTCTTCACCTGAATCCATGTCCAAAGACATTATCAGATACAGTAAAATGAAAATCTTCACACAAATTAATTCTATGTTTAGGTTTTGGGTGGCCAAGTGTGAAAGACAAAGACCAGGGCATGTTTTACCCTTTTTTAGCAGAGGAAAATTATTTACTGATGTCAAGACTATTGGCTCACTGCTATTGACAGCCAATTATGATACAGATGTCAACAGTGAATTTACATAATTTGCCTCTTCTTTAGAAGTCCCAATGACCTTGATATCATAGGAGTCAAGCAGAAAGAGGGCTGGAATGGAATACTAATCCCAGCAAAGTTCCCTGGGCAGATCCTCCTTTGCTCTGGGGAGCTCCTAATGCATTAACTCCCATTTGCATAATCCCTGGTATCACTGAGTACTGTAATTTCTGCTTACCTCTCTGTCTTCCCTAAAGCCTGAGAACTCTTCTTTCTTGCTCTCCCCCCCCAAGGAATTATTTATTTGAGGGAGAGTTACGGGGGGGGGGGGGGGGAATAGAAATCACTCCCCACTCAGCAAGGCAGAAGCCAGGAGCCAGGAATTCTATCCTGGTCTCTCAAATGGATGGCTGTGATACAAGAATTTGTATCATCTTGTGCTTTCTAAGACACACTAACAAGGTGATAGATAGGATGTAGAGCAGCCAAAACAGGAACTGGTATTCCATATGGTATACCCACATCCCATATGGAGGCTAACCTACTATGCCAGAAAAGTGGCCCCAGTCTGGGAACGTTGAGGTTGGAAAATATTCTATTCAGGTTTCATTTTTCTTTTTTACCATCAATAATATGAGCTAAGCAGAAGTAAGGAAGTTAGCACCTCCAGGCTTTAGCAAGCTCATTAACCAGTGCTATTTACAGAAGGATGACATATGGAGAAGTCCGTGTAGTTCTTTGATAAGATTCAGTTTTGCTGAAAATTTTACTTCTGGTACTGCTTCCAGTTGAGAAGCCAGTACCTTACACAAAATTTGGGGAAGACAAAGATAATCAGGAGAAAGTTTCAGCTGAAACTTGGGGTTATAGACACCACAGTTCAATTCAAAAAGAAAAACATAGCTAGAAGGCTGTGTCATCCCCAGCATGTCCATGACCTAGGCACCCATCTGCCTCATAAAGCCCATAGGACTTCGTTTTCTCTGATAAAGCCTCCTGCATGAATTTTGGGCTTTGGTGTTTTCCAGAAATAAGAAGTCAAGGCTTGAAGCTTCACTTGTCTGGTTTTCAAGTGAAGTAGAGGGAGAGTACCCGAACTGTGAACAGGAAATTCAGAATGGCGTGTACTTGAATTCATTCACACAAACTCATCCCTTCATACAGTCCCCATTCTCAAAAGCAAAGACTGCAGATGGTGGCAAGTGCTGAAACGAGATGCGACAGTGACATCACAAATATTTACAATGGTACCTGCTCAGCAGCTCCCCATTTCTCCAAGGACAGAGAAGAAGACCTGGTTAACGCTGCCCCAGCCAGGAACCGCCACGGACAGCAGGTGCACAGCCAGCGACTGATAAAGGTGCTCACACTAAGGAGAATGGCCTAAACCACTTCCTGCACGTGAGACTGCTCAGATCTGACTGAAGGTGAGCAGCTAAAAGGTTCACCCTAGCAGAATCACCTAACATTTCCCATATATCCTCGGATATTAGGCAAATTAACCCCCTAGAAAATAACCCAGCATCCCATCATCCCCTGGGTGGAGTGTGGAGGCAAAGAAACTTAGTCGCAGCCTGCAAGAAGCAGAGTAAGGCCCTGAGGAGGCTTCCTTCTCATCTCCATCCAACCATTCTCCTCCTCCCAATAGAGAAATGAAAGGCCTGGTGAAGAGGAGGGGACAAGCCTGCAACAAAGCAAGTCACTTCTTACTAGCTTTATTTCAGCTCTGCCCAGACCCAAACAGGAGGCACAATGAAAAATAACTCTGTCAATGACAGCCTTGTCTGGAGTTTGCTCCTCCATGGGCTCACGGGAGGAGGAACCAGAAAGAAAAATACCTTTACAGACATCCAGTTACAGTCCATTCAATGCCTCCTCCCAAGTTCAAGTTCATAGCCCTGAGGGGAACTGGTGGGGCGGATGGGAGCAGGCAGGGGAAAAGGAGACAACTTTAAAAGCAATTTGATTTGCATTGGATCAACATCAAATTCAAGTAAGAAAGCCATGGAATTCCCCTACCCCATACATCTGCAGTGTCAAACAGAAGCTGCTTTTTGTTAGAAGCTTCTAGAAGTTCTTCAGACAGCAGAAGTCAACAGAGGCCAACAGAACTAACTGATTATCAGGTACACCCAGGTCTCTTTTAAAACTAAAACCAAAAATATTATGACTTTCTTTCCTGATTCACAAGAGTGGCCGCAGGTGCTGGGCTCTTTTCTGCTAAATACTGCCAACAGGGCCCGCAGCAGAAACCTAGCCATGGGGGGACATCCTGTGTACCCTTGTTTTTCACAGCCACAGGGAGCCTACTGTGCAGGCCAGCAGCAATGAGGTCCAGCTCTGCTAATGGGTAGCTTAACAGCCCCAATCATGCCATTACCTTTCTTCACTCTGGCTCAGGGCTTCCAATCTGGCCAGGTGCACTGAGAGCTAAAAGCTCATAGGGGTGGTTCCAAGCTGGCTTGCATTAAAATGACATCCACTGTCCATCAGAGACCATGTGTGAGCAAGCCCACTGAAGTGTGCCTGGTCAACCAGGCTGTTGCCTCTGCTCCCAATACGGAACAGGTGCAGGTCCCCCTACTCTATTGGAAAGAACTGCAAGAGTCTGAAGGGAAACACCTTTGTGTCTTACCTGGGCACACTCCACCTTGGCACATTCTCCATTCCGGCAGGTCACTTGGCCTCGCTCACACGTGCAGAACTCACAGGCGGAGCCCTTCCACATTTCATCCTGGTACCGAACAACCCCATTGAACCAGCAGCTCCCAGCAGGAGACACACACTCCTCACAGCATTGTCCATCGCGATGAACTCTTCTCTGACCCTGGGAAAACAGAAGGATGGGTGTGGGACAGTCCTCAGAATATGGTGAGACACACACAGGTAAATCACAGCCTTTCACAGAACTGTTTCCTCCCAGCTGACCCAGTGCTGCCCAGTTTGGAGATCTTTCCTCAGCCCAGTAGACATATGGGTCCCTTAAAGAACATAGAAAACTGAGAAATGCATTTCCAAATGACCCAGAATAAAGTTTAGATAATGCAGCTACTGGCTCTCAAATACCTTTTCACACCTTAGTGGGGGGCAGGCCTGTTTATGACACCTGACCTCTCCATGGTCACACATGCATGTGGTACAGGCATTTTCAGTCCACTGCTCACCATGCTGAGCAAAGAAAGAAAAAGAAAAATGTCATATATATCATATACAAGATACTGATTTTTAAATTATATTTCTAAATGCAGTATATTGAATGTACACTAGGGAAATGATATTAGTTAAGTAGCAAGAATCTCTAAGATTCTAATTCTAATAACCTTGCAAACAGAACTTAGGATGAATTTTTACCCAAGCATACCATTTCACAGAGGTGCTGAGAGCTTGCTCTGTGTCAGCCATGACTTGGGGACACTGAGGTGCATGGGAACAGGATGCTCACCAACTGCTGCCCTTTGGATATTCTGTGCCAGGACACCCAAGGCTGGCAGCCACCTACTTTTTTCCCCAGCTTCCACTGCAGTTCAAGGATGGGCATCATCCCAGCCCTGCTCGAAGGGACCTCACAGGAAGCTTGCAAGTGGGGTGGAAGCTACATAAAGGAATCAAGGCCTTTGCCACCTTTCTTCCACTGCCTTTAGTAATGACGGTGTGAGGATGATCTGCCCGGAGTTCAAGAAGCTGTCTCGGAGAAATAAGAGAACAGCATGAAAAGTGAATGCCAATATGATGAAGATGAGAGGGTACAGGGATCAAAAATGTTTCAACCTATTAGGACAATATTAAGACCTGAGTTGATTAGTTCTTCTTGTTACATAGGACAATTTGAGTGTTACCTGTCAGCCTGACTCCTCGGTTAAAAATTAATCTAGTATAATTTCAGCAAATAAAAAAACACTGTAAAAATCAAAGAAAGAAAACCAGAAAAATAATGACAAACTAGAATGTAAGCACCGTATGTGGCTACCATGTCAGTTAGCACAGGTAACAAATACAAAATTCATGTCGAGTTAATCTTCGGTCAGATTTCAAGTGGCCCATCTAGGATTTGTGAAGTCACCATTCCCTAACGTTAGGTTTCAGATTCTCTACTGAAGACCATAATGTCAGCTTCTATTTTGTTCCCCTTAGAAAGGCAAGCAAGCAAGCAAGGAAAGAAGCAGGTTTTATTTTATCCTTTCTTTTGAATAATGTGACCTGTTTTGGGTTCAGTTTGACACTTCTAAGACAGAACATTCATTCACTCATTCAATGTATTCAGCGCATCTTTATTTGATGCCTACCATGTGATAGCCAGGTAGTTACAGACAACCCCCAAAAGCACTTGGAAATCTGCAGGTTCTGCGACCATTGGACACTCACCTCGCTGCCTTTTCTCCCATTCCACTCTCCAGTAACCCTTCCCCTCGCCATCCAAAGCAAGGGGACAGGAAAGGGAGCATGCATTCTGGATACCAGTGCATAAAATCCAACCAACGCAGGCATTTGCATACTCTCAGAGCTATGTGTAAACTCAAACAGTGACAGCTCTTGCTTCCCTTCAAGATGTGTGAACAGGGAAGTTCACCAGGGTTCGTGAACCAGGTCGGCTTGCCAGCACATTCCTTTTTATTTCTAATCCTCTTTGGTTTAATTTTCTCATAAGGCTTTCCACGAGGAAAAGACAAAAGTTGCTCGTGTACTGAGTTACTAATCCTGGCAGCGAGTGAAACCCAAGGGTGGGGGGCTGTGGTGGCTGGGAGGGCAGACGTGTGAGGACAAATGCCAAAACGCCTCGATGGGGTCCATCAGAAGTTACCTTATACATTTGGCCGGCGACGAGGCAGGGTCGGGCTGAGCACTGTGGACAGCATTCTCCAGGTACTCGGACGGCAGTTTCATCCTTAACACCCCAAAAAATGGACAATCCGTCACACAGAAATATTAATAAAACCCACAACAGCAAGAAAATGGCATTCTAGCCAACTCAATCACGTCCCTCAAGCATCCATCAGGCCAGTTTCCTCTGGATTAGCATTTGTAGGCCACCTGGGCTTCTGACAGGGATTAACAATTACAAGGTCAGTGTGACCCTGAAGATGTCTCAGCTGCTGTAAGTCAAATAAAAGCACGAATAAGAGTAACATTAATAATAATCCTTGGTGTTTGCCGCACGTCATTCTCGGTGCTCTTCATGACCTAGGAAATCGATTACTCCTGCTTTTTACAAATGAAAAAAGTACTAGCCACAAAGGTTGTGCAACTTGTCAAAAGTCACAATGTTTCCCCGGTAATGATAAATGATCAGCAGCAGGACATCAGAACACAAGCACAGCAACACATTAGAACAGTCCCACTCCTCCTAAATCACCAGTAAACGCAAACCTCAGGGTATCCCTCTCCGTTCTTACAAGAAGCAGAAAGCAAGGTTTTCCTATCATGGCTACTTTGATCCTTGGTCAGAAAGAACAAAAAGGTAGCTGAGATGGAGAGGCCATGTGTCCTTAGCTTTTTACAATGGAAAGTTCCAGTCATACCTCAGTAGTCCTTTAACTTAGTTCTAGAATCAGTTGAGTTCGTGCGTTGCTGACAGATTTATTTCAAATTCCTGAACCACTGGAATCAACTATTTTTTTTTGTTTTAGATGATTGTACTTCATTATTATAGAGGTCATGTATTGTGACTATTAGTGCTTATTATAGTATATGAAAATTGGATTTCACATTGAAATAATTGGGCATTTTTTTTTTATCTCAGAATTCTTTAGCTTAATGAAATTTTGGTGCGGATGTAAAGCTATAGCTGATCTACTTTTCAGTAACTCTATTGTCCCAAACAAATTAACTAAGCCTTAGACGGTATTAGATAAACAGGAAACCCATGTCATAACCAAAATCTTAAATATGTGCAAAGTTAGTATCAATTTTTCTCAGTCAATGTGCAGTCCACTGAAGAACAGTAGCAGAGTGAACTTGAATGTGCACAGAGGGAACTATCACTTAGTGGCTTACTACAAGAAAACCATACTTTCCCATTCTAATTACATATTTAACTGAAAGGAGCAATCGTCCTTTATGAATGTAGACCAGCAAGAACAGGAAGGAGAAGTATCTAAAGAGGAAATGTCCAGAACACAAGAGAGCCACATGATTCAGAGCTCAGAGTCCATGAGCCTGCTGCTCTACAGGCAGGGCTGAAGAGCCCAAAGGCGAGGCTGAGCTGAGAAGTGGGGTAGGCAGATGGGAGACACTTCTGCACAGCAAACTTCCCTTGCTATCATCGCCCCTCAAATCCTGACTCACATATGTATGCCCTTCCAGAATACAGAATCTAAGCACCAGCAAACTGCAGACCACAGGCTAAATCCAGCTTCTATCTGTTTTAACAAAATTGTTTTGGCACACAACCACGCCCACTTATTTATAGGATGTATATGGCTGGTTTTGTGCTACAGTGCAGAACTGAGTGACTGTTCCCAGTGTGTGACACAGGAAGCTGACATTGTTCACTCTGTGACACCTCAGAAAAAACGGGCAATCATGAAACCATTACACTACCTTCAATAGTCACAGGAATTCAATATTTAAAAAAGCATAATTAACACTGTTGCAATTTGGGATAGGACTGTTACTAAGTTTATATTTAACTTCCTATATTCATAAAATAAAATAGAAATTTCCAATGTGATATGGCTCATAGTTCTTAATTAAAATTTTTTTCTCCTCACATGCTTTTGAAGATATGAAAGGAGGGGCCAGTTTCGTAGCACAGAGGACTAAGTCACCACTAAGAATGCTAGAATCCCACATGGGCACCAGTTACAGTGTTGGCAGTTCCACTACTGATCCAGTTCCCCACTAATCTGTCTGGGAGAGCAGCAGAAGATGCCCCAAGTACCTGGGTCCCTCCATCTATATGTGAGACCTGGATGGAGCTCCAGGTCCTGGCTTGACCTGGCCCAGCCCTGGTCATTGAGCCACTTGGGGGATGCTCCAAGTAAATGAAAGACCATTCTCTGTCACGTCTTCTATCTCTCTCTGTGACTGACTTTTCAACTCAATCTTTTTTTTAAAGATACAACATATGAGAATGCTAACAATCTTTTTCAGAGGAAGTAAGAGTCCCTCCTGGGCTTCTTGCCCTTCTTGAGGACAGGGAAGGAAGGACAGGGAAAGGTCAAAGTGGTCATCCTGATATCGCCAGTTTGTCAAATTCCTTCAACTTCAAATACTCAGAAACCAAGGTGCTGAAGGTCAGACAGGCATGCACTGAACACCACAAAAAGGAAGAAATAACATTCTACAGATTCAGGGAAACAATAAGACTTGGTACCACCATTCTTTATGGCAGGTCAAAGAGAATGTGTAAATTCCATTTGAAAGCCCAGTAAGATTCGAGAATACACAGGCATCATCCAACAGAAGCAAGGGGCGATGAAGAAAAAATAGTCATTGCCATTAAATAAAAGTAGATGAAGCAATGATAGGAAGCATCAGGGAGAATTTAGGCAAAACTAAGGAAAATTATTGTCAAGTCAGTCATGAAGGGGATAGAAAAAAACTTGCACTTTTCACTGTATGCAGACGCAAGACAAAAAGTAAAATTTGAGACAGAATGCACTTGATAAAGAGGAGGAAAGGGGAACAACTTGAAAGGCACAAATATTTCTGGAGAAGCAAGAATAATTGGAATATCATTAAAGCAGTAAGTGAAGGTATTCCCATAACTGGAACACGGTCTCAAAGATTTCCACAATATTTATGCCAAACATGTGGGATGACACCTCACCTAGAAGTATGCAGAAAGGTATTTAAATAATAAGGAAGCATCCTACAGGAATGCTGTAGAGTAAAAGCAGCTGCCCATATTGGGACACAGAGCAGCCAGAGCTCAGATTTCCCCTTCCTGCCTCTAAATCCCCACATTCAGGGGCAGAGAGCGCGCAGAGCCAGGAAGGGGAGAGATTCTGATCCCTCCATATTGTCGCTGGTCCAGGAAACAGGAAAACACCGCACAAGCACTCAGAGGTTCAGGCTTCTCAATCTCCTATTTTTCTTATAAGTATACTTTCCTTAAAATAATTTCCAAATATGGAGTTCAAACTATTCAGAGAAATCCATTTTGGGGATGGGAAAATTGAAATGTTTCAAAATTGTTAGTAACACCATCAAGAATCACGTTTCTCCTGCTGAACAGACCAGGGAACCCAAGAGAGCTGAGTGGGGTTGAGGCTGAGTTCACAAGGCCTGTGCCCAGGAAGTGAAAGCAGATACCACATCCCTATGATGGGTGCAATCTCTCACTTAGGAAATAACCTCTTGTTTGAATAGGATTTGATCCTTTTGCGCAGGATTATCACCAGCTTCTAAAATGCAACTCTCACTTTGCAAGCAAACACAGGTAAATTACATTTGCCTATGAAAATGTATTTTCATATTATCATTTATCAGAGTGTCATATTTCATTATCCCTGTCCTTCCCAAAAAAACCCATCATGCTCTTTTTGAATGGTTAACAAAATGATTTTTCTACCCCGTTCAAAATTCTCTTTAATCACCGTCCTCCCTTTCATAATTTAAACATAACCACTTATATTAAAAATCAAAGAAAATCTTGAAGACAAGTTTTGCTTTTTTTTATATAGCTCAGGCACTGAAAATGTATTTCTTCTGTGTTTTTCTTATATTTCATGCACTAATAAAGTATGCAAAATAATTTTGTAAATGGTGCTGTCAGCACATACTGTTATTATAATTATTGTTATTATACATAAGTATGTAACCCATCATCTTGGGAGGAATATACCATAATGATTTGACAGCCAAGTCAAGTGTAGTCTTGTGAGTCAGTCCCGTAAAACTGATTAAACTGCCTATGTTAGAAGTGCCAACACTTACTAACTGTGCTACCCAGAGCAAGTTACTTGTATCTTTTGCACCTCAGTTTCATCAGCTATAAAATGGAATGATAATAACAGCTCCCACTAAATAAGACGGTTAGGGGAATTCCGTGGCTCTTAAAGTTAATGACTAGCATAATGTAAACTTCTAAAATGTGGGCAATGTTGGCGATGGTGGTATCGGTGGAGGAGAGGATGACAGCAGCAGAGACGGTAGAACTGAGGTCATGTGTTACGTTAATGGCACCAATTCTGTGTCTTAGAATACCCAACCTTTACCAGCGATATTAAGTCCAGAAAATGGTTCTAAACATGTCACAGTTGCATTTTTAAAAAGTCATGGCCAAAAATATAGACAAAATGAAGCAAGAGTGATGATAATCAACCTTCTTTTAAGTCTTCAAAATGCTTACTTACCGATTAGCTCCAAAGTGTGGTACCAAAATGTGGTTTTTACATTAACTATTTATATTGATCAAAATTCTACAGTGGATACTATGTAGTGAAACTAGAACTTAGCTCTAATTCTTTGAATGAGATACAGTAATTTCAACTATTTCAGTATCTGCAGCACGTGACTAAAGGTGCAAAGATTTAAAGAGGAAGCTTCTCCATGGGATACTTCTCCCATCTCTTGTACCCACTTCCCTCATGAAGATGGTGGCAAATCACCTAGTCACCATCCACAAAGAGGACCAATCCACAAAATACTATTAGTCAAAATGCTCCCAAGTTAGAATGTCCACCAATATTTGAGCAACAGAGGTAGATAACGTCCAATTCTCCTTAGAGGTTTATTTGTAATCTTAGAGCAAGGACAAGATGTGCTGATGAACTGGGAGATGAGATGAGCACAGTAGTGGGCGTAGAGTGGGTAACACAATCAAGCCTTCCAATTAGATACATTCTCCCTTTATTTGGCATTTAGCATTACTTGTCTAATTGCCTTTTGTCTGCCGTTAAAAATATTGCCCAATTGTCACAATATGCCCTGTTATTGATTTTGTTTTATTTGACACAAAGTATCGTTCTATATCAACTAAACGTTGGCTTCCGGCTCTTTCTCCGAGATCAAAAATGAGCTATTTTTCAACTGGAGGCAAAACTCCTTTCGTTGTTATCCATCAACTGCCATGGAACATCTAATGGAGCCTCTGCGACAGCACAAAACTATGAAATACCACATATACCACATTTATTTGCAATTGACTTCCCCTTCAAAATCTGCGTGGAGAGCCTAAATGGCTTGAAAATCAGATGAGCTCCAAATGCAGAGCAGACTCTCACTGTCTCAAGCATCGCCTTGGAAAATCCTTAGATAATTTCACTCATTATCTGGTAAGAGTTAAACTGCCTACATCTGGATAATCAATTTCAAAGACATGTTTATGTCCTTAAAAATCTGACTACACCTATGCATGGAAAAACAATAACAACCCAGATCATAATACCACATCTCCCAGATGTTTAGCTTGACATTTTCAGAACCTCTGCAATGGGAGCTGGAGGCTTCAAAGTGTGCACCCTCAAGGCTCAGCTTCATTAACTAACAATTAGCCTAAATGGCTGTTAATTAGACCTATCTGTAGCTTCTAAGGGGAAAAGAAATGTCTCAGAGGTGGTCTCCAAAAGTATAAGGAAAATAAAACAGCCTTTGCTTCCTGTTTCTAGTACTCCCGAGGCTGATACAGTCTCAGAAGAGACTCCAGGTTCTGGGAGCAGTGAAGTTAACATCCTGAGGTTAGCTTCCTTACCTGGTTACAAAACAGCGGCTGACACTGAGCCGCAAAGCACTGTGGAATCCCATTTCTACACACACACTTGGCACATCGGCTTAAGTGCCAGTCCTCACCATCCTGGAACACACGGCCTTCATAGGAACAGGGTTCTGGAAGGTCAAAGAAACAAGCATTACTGGAGGAATTGCAGTGGCCAGTCCCTGGGCTTCCTTCAAGCATATGTGTGCAGTGCAGTTACCCAGGGTGTCACAATTAGCTCCTATAACACAGAAGGGGCTCTATGCTTGGGATGAGCCCTCTGCAGTTGCTATCTTGAGTTATCTGAGTTTCTGTTCTATCAGTAAATGCTGATGGGGCTTGGAGCCTCAGCTTCTGTATGGTTCCACATCTTCCTTGGCTTCCAGGATGAGGTCTCTACCCAAGATCCTAGTGAAGGTGCCAGGAGGGTGCATGTCACAGAATGTGACAAAGGTACCCATCAGGGTCTCTACTGAGTCCTCCAGTATCCTCATGCCTAAGGGAGTACATTAAATAGCACATAAAACCCTGGTGACTGTGTGGGCATTTAGCATAGAAGCTGAGACCCCTACATCCCATATGATTCCTCCACGTTCCCTTCACAGTTCTGTTCCTGCCTCTTGGTTCCTGGCAATGCAGACCCCAGAAAACTGCAGTGATGGCTGAAGGGATTGGGCTGCTATTACTCTTGTGAAAGACTTGGACTGAGTTATCACCTTTCAATTTGGCCTCCTCCCAACGTTTCCCCTGGAGCCACTGTAGACATTGATAGAGTGAGCCAAGAGATGGGACTTCTTTCTACCTGTCTGTCCTCTGTCTCTCCTATAAATAAATAAAACCCCAAACTCCTGGAAAAGTAAGAGAGATCAGAGACAAAAAGCCATTTCCTTCTGCTGTTGAACAAGAGACTCTCTATTTCCTCTCAAATTATAGCTGATGCTCCAGGGAAAATGCTTCCAATACAATATGTCTCTGTCCTGGATGGCCAATAAGAAAGACTTTAAAGACCTCAGAATGAATCACAAAGCTCAGACTATCAACTCTCCACACCATCCCCAATCCTGCTGCCCAAGCATCTCTACTTGCAGGGTTATTGGGCCTAAAAGAGATGAAGGTACTTCTGGCAAGGACCATCTAGTATGCATGAGGAAAGCGCTTCACTTTCACTTCTGGAGCATACTTTTGAACCCCTGGAATAACGGCTCTCCAGGGTAAAGCTCTGCCAGGCTTGGAATAATTAGGGAAAGGAAAGCAACCAGGGGATCTCTTTGAAAGCAAAACGGTAAGAGTAGAATATAGCTTCTCAGTGTGATTGAAATCACAAAAAAGATTCTGGATATTCTACATGTCAGAGGAGAGCACAAAGTCTAGAATAGGATCTAAGGATTTTTTTCCTGCTTCCTTTCCCTCTTGGGAACGGTAAACTCAAAGGGACGCCCCCTCCGCCAAGGCAAAATAAGAATAAGAGACTAGAGTCCTATTTTCGAAATGGGGCTGAAAGATATGTTCCAATCCCATTCTCTGAATCTTTGCTCCCTGCCAAGTTCAAAGCAACAAGTTGATGACAATAAAGAAAGGTTGCTGGAGATTTTTGAGCCACATGAAGCAAAAAAAAAAAGAGTTGAAACAATACCATATGAACCTCAAAAGTCAAGACAGTCCCTGGGAACCAGCTCATACTCACTTCCAGGGCCCACACAGACAGGGCAGCAGCTTCCATGAGGGATGAATTCCAGCTCCCAGAGTCCACATGACAGTGGTGAGCACGGCTGCGGGGTGCACCTGACTTCACCATGAGTGCAAGAGCACAGGCTGCACGGAGGCGAGGCCCACTGTGTTCCATGCTGCATGTCGAGGGGTGGAAAGAAGGAACAGATCAATACCAAAATATAGACTTTGATTCCACCCACAGGAGTAAATCTCTTACACAAACTAAGCAAGGAGCTCAGCAAGGGTGGAAGACAGAGTTCAGCCGGCAAGGCTGAGATGAAGGTTTGCAGCATTCAAAGTCAGAGACCAATTCAACAATGGATTTTCCAAATATCTCTAAGATTTCACATTTGAAGTTTTTAGAAACACACATACATGAGTCCAATCCTATAATACAGAATTCTTTATAAAGCCAAAGCAAAACACACATAGCATGTATTTTTGTTTTGTTCTTTATAAGGGTTGCATCATTTAACAGCTCTAATTCTAACCCTGCTTCATTGCTGTGTTTTTTTTTTTTTTTTTTCGGAAAGGCGGATATACAGAGAGGAGAGACAGAGAGGAAGATCTTCCGTCCTATGATTCACTCCCCAAGTGAGCGCAACGGTCGATGCTATGCCGATCCGAAGCCAGGAGCCTCTTCCGGGTCTCCCACGCGGGTGCAGGGTCCCAAAGCTTTGGGCCGTCCTCGACTGTTTTCCTGGGCCACAGGCAGGGAGCTGGAAGGGAAGTGGGGCTGCCGGGGATAGAACCGGCGCCCATATGGGATCCCAGGCGTGTAAGGCAAGGACTTTAACCACTGTGCCACTGTGCCGGGCCCTGTTGCTGTGTTTTTTGATTAGTTCCCATCTCTTTTCTCTCCTTCCTTCTATTTAGTCCTTCCTCTTGTTAATCTCACTATCCTATCCATCTATCTCTATCTATTTTTCTGTATCTCTGTTGTTCCAAGAACTCATGGGCCCTGATAAAATGTGACAGGCAACAAGAAAATCAATCCAGTTTCCCCATAAACTGAACAGTCCATTCATTCTCAGTGAGGGTACCCGTGTGTCTACACAGACAGAATGTGCCTAACCAACTTTACACTGGGATACTACACGCACACGGCTTGCAAGATGTCAGTGACCAAACAGACCCAAGTGCTAAATTATTCTGTGATTTACCAAACACATACAAATGAGCCACTCTCAAATGTGATACACGTATGAGAGGGAGGTAAGCTCAGGATGCAAAAGACACAGGCATTGGACTGTTCAGAAGAGGAACTGTCAAGGTTGTTTGCAATAGCAGTATGGGATAATAGTGATCTTCTGCAAGTAGAAAAACATCTGCTTAATGAATACAGTTGTCCATATCTTCTTTCTGTAATGTTCTTCAAATACTGAAAATCGTTCTCCTTTGCTTCTACTAAATCTAGCATATGATACTTGATTCAGCAAAAATCTCATCTGCACTTTTCTTAAAAACATCACACATCCTAGGAGCTCATTAAACTAGTTTTACTCTAGGGAATACAACGGTGTCACTGACAAGCATAGGAAATAAACATTCCCTTGTTTCCCCTCAAACTAGCATCTGGAATCATTGTTCACCTTTCTCAAACACAATGGAGCCCTGTGTAACTTAAACAAGTCAGAACCCCTGGATTCAGCTTGTTGTGGCCAGGCTGTAAGCATGCCAACTCTGACATGATGGAATTACTAATAACCTATGCTATTATTATAACAGGATGGTAATAGGTAGTTACAGTCACCTAATTATTTGGGAACCAAGACCTCACCATACAATCATGGTTGTTTTCCTACAGAGAGACTCACTGTGAGTACAGAAGGCAGTGATACATGTCAGCCCCTATTGAGAGGATCCAATGGGTGCCTTGGCCCCATGCACGTTCTCAGGTCCCAGGTCGGCCTTTCCTGCCATTGGGTCTATGGGTCAATGACTTAGTCCTTCTCAACCCAGCTTTCTCATTCATAAAATGAAATGGTAAGGACAATGTGCCTGTCACCAGATTCTTGCAAGGATTAAACGAGATAACCTACAAGGAATAATGATGAACAGCAGTTGCTCAATTAAAGAGTGAAACAGTGGTTGCCAGTGGCTGAGGCTTAGGGAAAATGGGGAGTTGTCAGTGAGGGGCACATGCTGTCGTTGATAAGATGAACACATTCTGGGTTCTAACACCCAGAATGAGAGGTAATGGATGTGCCAATTAATTGTGGCAGTCATTTCACAAAGTGTCTACACATACGTATAAAGCATCTCATTGCTCACATTGAATGTATTCCATCTTGTTTTGCCAATTAAAGATTCTAAAATAAAAAGGAAAGTGTTCAGTTCTGTTTACACTGCTTGAGCCATGACCTTCCTCCATTTTTTCCATGTTTGTGGTGGTCATGAGTGGCAGGAACTGACATGAATACAAATGCCGAGTCCTTTTTCATTACTTTTATTGTTATAAGTGTATATAAAATTTCAAATTCAGCACAGCATGGAAATAGGCAAGTTCACAAATTATGGCCTAATAAATGATGGGACAAGTGACATGTAGGCCAGTTTTGTGGCATTACAGCTAAGGCCTGTGAAAATTCAAACCCCAGTTGGACCACGTCCCATCTAACTCCTTACTAATAGGGAAAGGCAGAGGAACATCAGCAAGCATCTTTTTCCCTACCTCCCCAAAGGGAGACCCAGAAAAAGCTCCTGGCTCCTGCCTTCTACCTCATTCAGCCCCAGATGCTGCAGCCATCTGGGAGTGAACCAGCAACTGGAAAGATCCCTCTGTTTCTTGCTATCTCTCCCTCTCTCTGGGTAACCCTGACTCTCAAATACATGTTTTTTTTTTTTTTAACAAAAATAAATGTCTAAGCATGAAAGTAGAAGAACTTATAAAATAAAAATTAGCCGATTCCAGAGAGTTAACATTTGTAAAACTTTGAAATATATAATAAACAAAATTAAAAGGCAAATAGCAACGGCTACGAAAAGTTGAAAATGATATTAGAATTAAACTAACATTTAAAAACACAGATAAACAGTAAGAAGAGGACAAACAAAGGACAAAAGAGCAGTAAGTATACAGAAAGTTCAACTTTATTCATTACAAAGAAATATTACCTAAAATAAAAATTGGGAATAGGGAAAAAATTTAAAATTTATGATATGTACTGTCAGTGACGTGTAATTGTCATACATACAGCCTTGCCCACACACAGCCATCCCTTTGAACAGGGGGCCAAGGGGATCCCACAGGGGCTGCTGGGGCAACAGTCTCACAGCTTTACACCGGACTCAGGTAAAAATAGAATTTTAGTGACTATAAAATGTTACAGTTTTAGTACCTAGAATCTTTGGATCTAAGAATCTCAGTTTTTTATTTGTTTTTTTGAAGAGTTACTTTATGGAACACAATGGAGAATTTCCTTTTGTTGGCTCACTCTGTAGATGACTGCACCAGTTAAGGCAAGGCCAGGCTGAGGCCAGCAGCTTTCTCTAGGTCTCCCATTTGTGTGACAGCTACCCAGGCACTTGCACCATCTTCTACTACTTTCCAAGGCACATTAGTAGTAAACTGGGTTGGAAATAGAGCAGTTGGGATTTGACCTGGTATTCATATGGGATGCTAGCATTGCAGGCAGCTTGACATGATATCCCACAGTGCCGGTCTCTGTACTTCTCTTTAAAAATGTATCTTAAGAAAATGGTCAACGACACACAAAAAGGCTTAAATACAAAGATTTACATCTTACTTGTTCCATAAATGTAGTTGAAAACATTTTCATGAAAACTGGGAGTTACCTAAATGCCTAATAATCAAGAACAATGTTCTCCAAAAGTATATACAGAAACACTGATAATATAATATTGTGTAAAGAGGCAAGATATAAACCATACAGAATAATTCCAATTATGTCACAGCACATATGTATCATCTACCTACACAACTTTCTATCTCTACTGGCACTCCACTGCCAGAAATTGGAAAACATTAACTGTAGCTTTCAAAGTACTGGGATTACTGGTGGATTTTGTTCTCTTCCGTGAACCTTTCTATATATTTACAAATACAATATGCTTTTTGTCATCATCAAAAGGCAAATTACAGTTGAAATATATAATTATGTGTAAATCTTAAACATAGTTATATCTTTAGACTGTATGTAAAACTGAAAATGAATATCTATTTTATTAAGAGTTAGGAGTCTGCTTCTATACATTCTGACACATCATCTCAGTAAGTGCTTGCTCTCATTACAACTGAGGATCACTATCAGTTCTCAGACATGTTGCAACACCACCAGTTTTCAGACAGAAATCACAAAAATTAACAAGACAACCTATCAATCACTCAAGGTTTTCACTAGCTGATACATTAGCTGATCTAAGCACCTTTGCCCTCTCTTAATGTGCAAATCTATATGCTAACTCAAGAGACATAAAAGTTAGCAATGGTGATCTTCTTCAAGCCCTACCTATGAAACACCATGAGGTGTGTTCTCCTTACGATGAGTTCCTGCCTCCTACACAGGAAGCCCACACTGAGTTGCAGGCTCTTGGCATCAGCCTCATCCAGCTCTGGCTTTTGTGAGAATTTAGGGGAGTGAATTAGTGCATGAAAGATCTTTCTACACATTTCAAATAAAATGAGAATAAATTTTTAAAAAAGTAAGCCACGGATTCTCTCTCCATGATGAACTTGAGATTTATGGAAATAACAAAAACACTCAGCAGGAAGACGTCAGGGGTTGGTGTGAAAGCCACAAGAAAAGCTCTGGATGGTCACGCCAGGTGCAAGGCGTGATGGAAAGGAATTACTATCACCTCCCTTAGGGGTCAAATCACATCAGTCTCCACCACTTTTGTCCCACATGCCTATTTCACATGCACCATCTCCTTCCTCACTGTCTGAACACGAATCTTGCATGTAGGAGGTAGGCACCTAGCAGGGGTCAAGCCGTTGCTTGGGATACCCACATTCCAGAGCATCCTATGTGGATCTCAGGTCCAACTCCGCTTCCAATTCCAATTCCTTGGCAGTGTGCACTTGGGCAGCAGCAGGTGGTGGCTTAGGTGTTTGGGACATTGACGGGAAAGACCTATTTCCAGTCCTGGCTTATGCATGGTCCAGCCTGTCTGCAATGGACAGTTGGGGAGTAAACCTATAGAAAAACAACTCTCTCTTTGGCTTTCAAAGAAATAAAACAAATCAGTAAAACCTGAAAAAATAATGCCCACAAAGGACACAACCTAGAGATTAAGGGGCTTCACACACACACACACACACACACACACACACACACACACACACACATACACTTTTCTCTCTATGCACATTTACTGAAGTATTGTTTTTTTTCTAAAGAGAGCTTTGTGAAATCAAGGAATAATAGCTGCACAAAGCTTTACTCTTACAAGACACACTTGAATCTATGTCATCTTAACCTCATTAATGCCCTTGAGAAAACATGAGATTTTGACACTGGGCAGAAGGAATTCTGCAGACAACATCTTAAATATAATCTTTTGCATAATCAGCTAGCAAGTTAGTTTGGCTGTTGACATAAGTCCAAAGCAGAGATAAGGTGATAAAGCATTAGCCTGGCTTAGTGACAGAAAAATTTTTTTTCTTCAAATAATTTGTTCCTGTTATGAATTACAAATACCAGAATATTAACTGTCTGGGAATGTTCAGTGCATATTAGAATCATATCCTCTACTTTGAGAAGATCAAGACTACAGAATTCAATATTCTTTTCTTCCCTTGCACAGGTAAATTAGTGCCTCCTTTTACCTCACAGACAGGTGGGCAGTGTGAGCCCACCTCTCCCTCCTCACATCCCGACACCAGTGCATCTCTCACTAGGCTTTACCACCTGCCATTTGCCTTTTCTGTGAACTTCCAAGCATAATCTTCTCTGACTTGACAATATGTGGTGCTGAGATTAAATCAGAAATGAAGGAAAAAGAAGGGATGGATGGTACTCCCCACTCCTTTTGGCAAAATAATTATTGAAAAAAGGAATAAGAAAAAAGCACTCAAACAGTTATTAGAAAAGCTCTGTTAATCTTATTTCCCTGGCCGGCCAGGCAGGGCACACATTCCTACATTAATCTGAAGGGAGAGATTTGGCAAAGTGATGGACGAAACTACCCCCTATTCCCCGATCTTGGCTGCAACATTCCAAAATAATTCAGAAGCAGCCAAAAGGCTCAAGTAGCTCCCTTACTCCAGCAAAGGAAGTATCCATGGGACTTTTCTTACTTGCTGGGATGCCAGTTGGGGAAGCTGCTGCCTCCTCTGCAAGACAAGGAGGGCCTTAGTATGGCCTGGAGGTCCTGGTGAAAAAGAGCAGGTATCAGGCAGCTCTGACCTCAGCTCACCCTCGGCCTTCCTTTGCCTGAATCATGTTCTGCAGGGACCGCACTGCAGCTGATTCCCCTACAGCACATCCAGCCAGTCCTAAACCTTAATGGTTCAGATCACCACTCCAGGCTTAGTTTGTAACTACTTTGCGTCTCTATAACCCACCCCATGGAGTGCAAGCATGATAAAGAATGACTGCTGTTCTTCAGGAGACAGGAGTTCTCTGGAAACTGACTCCTAAACCAGCTGAATCTGGGCAAGGGAAGGGGCTGAGGATTCAGGAAGAGGCCCAGTGTTGTATGTGACAAGATAAACCTCAGACTAAAGCAAACAGGTAGTTAAACCACTCAAGAAGATGAATGCCAAAAAGAATTTGGCCTGAACCTAGGGGAACTGAAGAAAGAAAGAGGGGGAAAGACAGGAAGACAAGGACCATAATAATTGTAACTTAAGATTAAAGTAAGATATTGTCTCAATTAAAAAAAAAATCAAGAATCAACCTCCTAGCTCATTTTGAGGCGGCAGACTACTGAAGATGTTTCTCCCCAGAGCTGTAGTTCTGGAAATTCAGCCTTTTTCTCGGTTACATCAAGTACCAGAAGTGTAATTATACATTTTCTGAGGGAATATGTTTTGAAAGCTGCATATACAAAAGCAATGCATGGCTGGTTCCTATGCATGTCAGGGCTATCCACATGATGTGTTATTGCATAAGGGACCACTGATGGAGACGCCCAGGTAGGGTTCTCTGAACACGCTCAAAGTAAGAGTGCAATGTGATTTCTAAGCCCTCACAGATCAGTGGTTTGAAAACTCCCAAGCCACACAGGGAAAGGCCCAGATTCCCCTTGGGGTAGCAACTCAGAGCAGCCAGGAAGGACTTGATAATCACTTGAGTTCTTTCATTCATCAATGCTTTTTGAGTGCGTACTCTGGGAAAAGTTCAGCGCTGAACACCAGGGTAAGTGGGAAGCAGGGAAGATAGTTTTCCAGACATAAAACATATTGCCAATGTTCTCAGGCACCTTGCCTCAAGATAAGACTGTGCTCAAATGCAACATCAGAGATTAAATGTCATGAGTCTTTAGGGCAGTCCATGCAAAAACTTCCTGACTTCCGACTGTCCCTGTTCCTGGGTCCAGCTCAGATCTGAGATACGGTTTCTCTCCACTTCCTGATACATTTCATGGCTCCCAAATTCTCCTTCACAGCTTCGGGTGGCTGTTTGGTAAAGCAGTTAAGATGCCAACATGTCATGGCTCCTGGGTTTCTGTCAGAGCTCCAACTCTGGAGTCTGGGTTCCAACTAACATGCCCTTGAAAACAGCAGGTGATGGTCCAAGGACATGGGTTCCTGCCATTCATGTGGGAGACTCAAACTTAGTTCTGGGTTCCTGGCTTTGGCCTGACCCAACTTTGGACCTGCACTTGGGGAAGCAGCCAGTTGGATGGAAATGCATGTGCTTGCTCTCATGCTCTTTTTCTTTCCCTGCCTCCCTCTTTTCCCATAAAATAAAAATAAATGAAACTTTAAAGATCAATTCTGTTCAGTGTTTTTCACCTTGAACCACACAGACCCATCCCACTCACAATGATCTGGCATTATTTCCAGCAATCTGCCCTGTGGCACTTTTCCAATTCCCAGGCTAGTTAAAGCTGACACTGACCTTGCAGCACAGGGGAAGCCATGCTAGGAAGATGGCTCCAACACAGACCTGCCTGGCATTGTGCAGAAGTGAAAGGGTGCCTTCCTCATGCAATTAGGAGACAAAGACTCTGGTAAGAGGATCCCATCTGTGGGGAAATGAGCAGTGCATGCACTTAGTTGTAAGTGTACACATTGAATAGCAGTCTAAAGAGGAGATATCAAATTCTGCTAACCTATGCTCTCTCCTCAATGGCCAGAGGAACATTTCATATCGAGCAAAAGATGACGATGAAAGCCAAGAGCCTCTTCCCATCACATTCAACTTCACCTACTGCCTCGGGATAGCATTTGCATGTGAGTGGAGAGGTGCAGACTATCTTCACAATTCCTGTCATGAACCTTGCAATGGTACTTTTTAAATTAGTGTCTAATACTCTACATCCATCATAAGAAATTAGAAATGGCAAACTAGAATAAGAACCACTTTAGGAAGAGCTGCTAGCTCTGTGGTTGTGCTTTAGGGGAGAGAAAGGGTAAAGAAGCACTTTGTGTCTCAGAGAAGAACTGGCCATGTGTACAGACACGTGGGTTGTAGTGATTAGGGGGTATTTGGAGATAGAGGCCAGGGATGGTACTCAACATGCTTCTGTACAAAGGACAGTACCCTCAACAATGCCTGCAATATCTACTGAAGCTGAGAATGTCTTCTTTAATGGAATGAGCCTTGAATTGGGAGCCAGGAGTTCTAGCAGATTTTACTACTCATTAGTAATATTATTTTGGACAAGTACATAAAGCTCTATGAAGTTCATATTTTCATCTTTGACGTGGAAATAATAATATCTGCTCCGCTCACCAGGTCACGGTTGTTAAATGAAAAACAAAAGGGGCACAGGTGGGGAGATGGGGAATGCAAAATGAAGGTGACATCTTTATTATTCAACATCACAATTTCTTCAACATTTCCAGACTCCTCTTTACACAGATTCTACAAATAGTTATTGAGGGCTTGTGGACAATATAGGTCTGTTCTAATCTCACTGAGGCAAGACTGTAAGAAGACAAAGGAGCCCTGAGTCTTAGCTCCTGTGTTGCTCAAGCTAGGTCACACCCTTCTCTTGTCAACCTGAGCACAGCATCCAGCTCCCCAGTCAATGAGCAACAGACACAGAATCCACACCAGGCTGGGCAGCACTCACCTCGTGGATTTTCTCTTCATGATGGCAAGATCCAGGAGTCCTGGGCACACACTCAGGGCAGCATTGGTTGGCAGGAATCAGAAGCACTTCTCCCTGAGCAGTAAGAGCAGTTTAGTGTGAGAGAACAACCACAAACAATGAGACTGCTTCATCACACTCCACGTCACCCGACATTCACTAATGCACGGTTGACTCCACAGGTGACAACACTAGATGGAATAACACAAATAAGCCAAAATAAAAAGATTCTCTCTGTCAAGATGAACTTCTCTCAGAGACAAAACGAAGCCCCACCGGAAAGCAGTTCTCTGAGACAATGCCTACATCTTTTCACATAAAATGAAGTGTAGCATTTTTTTTCTTTTTCATTAGAAATTTTACAATGAAGATGAGAGGTGAGCTGTACTTATTTAAGGGAGTTGTTCCCTGAGGCTCTGGGAGGTCACAGAAAGCCACGGAGCAGTAGGTCTTCCTGCTACCTCCATCAGACCTCTACTGCAGCCAGTGGTGGCTCTGAGGTGCTGGCAGTTACCTCTGAGCTCAGGAAACACAGAAGGGCATACAGGACCAGCAGGTGGAAGGACAGCTAGGCAAGGAAGCAGATAGTTGGGAAGCTTCCACACATAGGTTTCCTGGTGAACTGCATAGAATTTCTGGGTTCCAGTAAAGATCTACATTATTTTTTAAGGCTTTTTAAAAATTGCAACTGTGATTCTTGACACCATAAATAGAAAAAGCTATCACCCGAGACCCAAGGATTATGAGGAAGTTGTCACGTGTTTAACTCACATGCATTTAGCACTATGAAAGACTCATCTAACAGTTGTAAAATAAAGACTATTTATTAAAGTCCTGTTATCCATGAGGTTTTTTTACCATGTATGTTCAGGCTTCCTTAAGTCTAGAGGATGGTAGAACAGTCAATCAGTGATTTTGATCAAGGTTAACCAGAACATCATGACTTTGACAAGATGAAAGTCTACAAGGGATTCAGCCAGTGCAATAAGGAAGTGTCCATGCTTATATGATAAATTATTTGATTTAATGAGTGTTACCTTTGGTTTATTAAAAAACCACGGTGGCTTAGTGGCTAAAGTCCTTGTCTTGAATGCACCAGGATCTCATATGGGTGCTGGTTCTAATCCTGGCAGACCTTCCTTTCATCCATCTAGTTCCCTGCTTGTGGCCTGGGAAAGCAGTTGAGGATGACCCTAAGCCTTGGGACCCTGCACCCATGTGGGAAACCCAGAAAAAGCTCCTGACTCCTGGCTTCAATTTCATATGCTCCTGGTATTTCCCTTATCCCAGCCCCAATTTCCTACCCACCCCCCACCTAGTTCCTCTATATCATTACTAAAGTATAGTTCTTCATACAGTCATATGTCCATCATTGTGGGCATGGACAATGACAGAGTCCAGAATCCTATCGTCAAGATATAGTAAGCAGTTTCATTGTAAATCCACCTTTGTCTGGAAGTAGAAATGCATACTATATTGTATTTCACATCTGGATATGTTAGTCTCCATTTCACAGTTACTGTAAATCCCCTTAAATGAAAAATTATAATAAAATCAACAATAGAAAGAAAAATGGAAATTTACAATGCCATGAAATGACATGTTACTAGATATGATAGTCTCCATTACACAGCTAATATACATCCCCTTAAATGAAAAGTCACAAAACAAAATCAACTTCCGGGATAAAAAAGAAATTAACAATACCATGAAGTTAAATAACATGCTACTAAATGAGTAACGTGTAGCTGAAGAAATGAAAATCTAGAACCTTCTTGAAGAAAATGATGCCATTGCATGATGTATGAGTCATTGAATGATTTAATCAGAAAAAGGTGCTTTGAAGAGATGAAACTAACTGAAAACATCAAAACCCATGCGATACAGTTTATGCTTTTTGTTGGAGAAATGTGTCTCTTCTAGACAACAAACAGATGGGCTTTATTTTTTAATCCAGTCTACTAATCTACGATGTTTGATTGAGCTTAAGCCATTTACGTTCAGGGCTAATATGTATGGGTGGTACTTTGGTCCTGTCATTTTAGGAATGGATTGTTCATTGGTTTAGTCTTCTGTTTTCATTTTACTGGGATGTTCTTCACATTTGCCTTTGGTTTTGGCAGGTGCTATTCCTCTTCTCTGTCAAGAGAGCATCTTGAAGTATCATTTGTAGGGCAGGTTTGGAAGAGACATATACTTTTAACTTTTCTTTATTGTGGAAGAATTTTATTTCATTTTCAAAGACAAAGCAAAGCTTTACTGGATATGTTATCCTGGGCCGACAATTTTTTTCTTTTAGAATCTGGAATATGTCCCTCCATCCTCTTCTTGCCTGTAGAGCCACCTGTGTGGGAGACCTGGAGGAAGTTTCTGGCTCCTTTCTTGGGATCGATGCAGCACTGACCATTGCAGTCACTTGGGGAATAAATCAGTGGATGGAAGATCTTCCTCTCTGCCTCTCCTCCTCTCCGTATATCTGACTTTCTAATAAAAATTTGAAAATAAATCTTAAAAAAAATTCTAAGTTCATATAAATCCATCTAAAAGAGTGAATGGAAAATAATACTAAGATATTTGTGATTGCTAATTTATTAAATAACTAAATACAAATTCTTGCTATTTACTTAATACAGGACAAAGCTTACACAATCTGGGCTACTATGAATCTCCATATGCTATAAAACATGAGTGACTTTTCAAAAAAGCATTCTCTGAATCCAAGGAAAGAACATATTAATCAGGTTTCCACTAAGGCAGTAGCAAAAATAAAGAATTCCATACAGATAGGAAATGAGAAAAATTCAAGTGTTTTCTGTATTCCAACACGGAAGTAGAGAACAAGATAGACTGTTGGGGGGGATGAGGAGGAAAACTTCAAGTGGATCTTTTATGCCATCAGATTAGCTTGCTTTGTTTTATGTAAAAGCAATTTTCATATTTGGCTTTCAAGACTCATTTCATAATTGTGTATTTTAAAAATTTGTGAGTAGCAGTGGGAAGAGCAGAGAAGATGGTCTTTACATCAGGTGTGCCCAGCAGACTTCTGGCGACACAAGACAAAGGGAAACTGAACTAGGAACAGAGAGTCTGGGGAATGTTCTCATCCCCTGTCCACTTCTATCCATCCAATGTGGCAGCTATCCTTCATGAATGCAGCACACTGACATACAATCTACCTCTTGTGATAACAATATAAATAAACATTGATGTATACCCAAAAACAGTTATCTGAATTGCTGATAACACCGGGTTATATACAGTCAATCCACAATAAAGCATAAAATATAGGACAGCTGTAAAAAAGATGAAATAAAAGAATAACAGGAACCCAAGTTGTCATTAACAAAACACATAATTTAGGGTATAGTGGTGGTGCATGAATTTGTGCCATAAACTAACATAAGTGTACCACTGCAGATGTAAATAGCACAAAGGAAAATTATGGCAGTGCAGAAATTACACTGGCCCATGAGCTCACACTGAAGGTTCTTGTATGTCTGTGGCTCACACTAACTCTGTCTTTCAGCAAGTGATGATACAACTAGACGTCTAAAACAACAAAGTCAGACTAAATGATTTACAAAGGTTTCTTCTGGTTCTACAGGATCCCATGATAGTGTTTCATTATTTGCATAAAGGAGCCACATGCTCTGTGGAACACTCGCCTGACCTTGGAATTGAAAGCTCTCCTATGTTTGGACCATCTGGTCCAATCTTCTCAATCTTCATAGGAATACATACTGCTTGGTAATGCCATTCTTCCCTATTATCATCACTCCCCAATTTCCTGATCATAACCTAATATTCACTCAAGACTTGGCACCTGGAATGGGCACTGTGGTACAGCAAGTCAGGCCGCCACTTGCAACATTGATATCTTTGTATCATGGTGCTGGCTCAAGTCTGGTTGCTTTAGAGCCAACTTCCTAATCACGTGCCTGGGAAGGCAAGAGATGATGCCCACATATTGGGCCCCTGCCACTCATTTGGGAAACCAGGATGGAATGAATCCCTGATGCCTGGCTTCTAACTGGCTCAGACTTGATTTTGGTGGCCATTTGGGGAGTAAATGAGTAGATGGAAGATTGGTTGATTCTTTATCTCTGTGTCTCCTTCCCTTTCTGTCACTCTACTTTTAAATTAAATGCATAAGTAGAAATCTTAGAGAGAAAGAGGGAGGAAGGAGGGAGAGAGAGAGAGAGAAACTAGGCACCTGAATCTCTGTTTTCTGCCCTGTGTCTAAACATAATTTGGAACAACTTCAATTCCATAATAGCAACCAGTAGACATATACCTTTGTATATACGTTAAAAAATACTTATTTTTTAATAAAGGCAGATTTACAAAGAGAAGATGATACAGAAAGATCTTTCATCCACTTGCTCACTCCCAAGTGGTTGCATCAACTGGAGCTGAGCCAATCCAAAGTCAGGAGTAAGGAGCTGCTTCTGGATCTCCCATGTGGGTGCAACATCCCAAGGTTTTGGACCATTCTCTACTGCTTTCCCAGGCTGTAAGCAGGAAGCTGGATGGGAATTGGAGCAGCTGAAACATGAATCAGCAGCCATATGGAATCCAGGCACACACAAAGCAAGGATTTAGCCACTGGGCTATTGTGCTGGACCCTCCTTGTATATTCTTGATAAACTCCATTTGACATGTCCTGACCTCCATTACACTGGTGCTCCCCATGGCCATGCCTAACCTTGAACTTGTCCACATTCTGAATGCTGTATACCAGGAACCTTATAATCTCCAGCACTGAGCCTCTTAGTAGCCTCTATTCATTTAACTATTTGCTTCTAGAACCACTTCAGCATTCTTTTCCATGCAGTCATTCAGCTCTTTACTAGCATCATTTTCTCATGCTTTTAACTGAATGCCCGCTACTCCTTGCACCTCTACATTTAGCTGTTATTAATATGATGCAATCTGAACTGTAGATACAATTCACTATCCTTTTCTCCTTGGCTGGTAAGTGTTGCTGACATCATAAATTCACAACACATATTGGCTCTCCCAAAAGTTCATGGTCTCCTACCCCAAGGCTCCTGAATAACACACACAGATGCCTT